AAGGGCCTTCGATCTTCACGAGTAAGTGATTCCGGGCGGGTTCCCCTTCACATAGTGCTAGGAAACGCCACGGTAGATACGTATGCATTTGTGCGCGCTTCATATCAGTCCCTTCCCTTCATATTGTATTTCACAATAGAGCGAGACGAGCATCAGCATCGGTCTGACATTTGTAGATGGGCGGGCGGGCGCGTTGCGCGTCCTGGTCTGTATGTTGTAGCTTGATAGGGTGCTATAAGAGCACCTTCTTCGGGAAACAGCGTACTAATCTGACACGCCGTGCGGTCTTCTTGTGCTTGCCTTCAACAACATGTTTGCCTCGTCAAGCTCCTTCTTCTTTTTCTTTTCCTTCTTCTTTTTCTTCTTCATCTTTTTCATCTTCATCCTAATGTTGACCTGCTGGTGCAGGTTCCGTTTTTCGGATCGACAATCGCCCTTTAGCTCTATCTTGTACGTCTTCATTACGAAGCTGACCATTTTCATGCCCTCATTAATGGTGTCTAGCCAGCGTTGTTTTGGTGTTCTTCTAGGCCTGTGACCGTTAATTTAAAATCAACATACTTCGAATCAGCAGCAACAGTATAACGTTTGGCTCGCAAAACCTGGCTATACCACTGGAGTCGCCTCTCTTGCATCTTCTCGGCGATTGGTGCGACTCCCATCTGGCATCGAATCACATCGTTACTGATTCTATCAAGGCGTGTAATGCCCATTGACAGTCGCAGCATTCGCATCTCCATGGCGTGGCAGTTGGCGCTCGGCACTTTTGGTTGCTGGCCAGCATTCGGATCCGTACAGTGCCACGGGTCGAACCATGGTCCGGTATATCTTTGACTTGAGGCGAAGAGGCATGCGCTTATCACATAGCATGCCAGTGTTCTCCCTGCATCTCGTCCATGCCCTGTGGACTCTCATTTGTATCTCGTCGACACCACCATCTCTTTGCAGGCGGGACCCCAAGTTCCTGAAGGACACCGCTTTCGGTAAGTCTTCGCCTTCCACTTTGATCGTGCCTTCGCTAGGGTCAGTTCTAAGTATTCCGTCTTTCTGGTGTTGAGGCGAAGGCCTGTACTGGCCTAGACAGTCAGTCATACCTGACACTGCGATTCCTCCCTACTGGTCCGCTAGGAGAACATCGTCAGCATAGAGCAAAGTCCATGGAGTAGATCTCGTGCGGAACGGATCTTCTGGAATTGGCAGGTCTGCGGACTCCCCATTAAAATTTCATTAAAATGTTGCCACCAGCGATGCAGTATCTTTCGTCTACTGTGCAGCCGCTCTCCATTCGAGTCTTTCACGCACATATAGTGCTCAACGTCCTTCGCTGCTTGGGCCCGTCCTTTCGCCAATCTGTAGATGTTTTTCTCACCTCCTTAGTGTCTAGCCGCTCTTATAGGCACCGAAAATGTTCTGCTTTTACCACGGCTATACTTGGACCACTTCGCCTCCCTCCAGTTCTAGGCAGCTCTATGCTTCAGCCCGATCTTGTAAGCAGTCTTCTTTTCCATCACTTCCTGCTTCACTTCGTCCTCCACAGTCGCATTAGTTTGTCAATACGTCGACCTGGTTTCGTAATTCCTAAAGCAGATTTAGCAGCAGTTGTAACGGATCTGCTGAACGTTGCCCACAAGTCGTTGACCGGCCTGCCATCGACTGGAGGTAAGCTGCATGCACGGGCAATTGCTGCCTCCTTGCCCTGCAGTTTCCACCACTTGATTCGCTCTGGCCCCATAGACCGACCGGTGTCGCTTCTACGCTTGGTAATCTTCGTATCCACAACGAGCATCTTGCGTTGTGGTGCCAGGTTATCCGACGGGATGACCTTTACATCACTGATGGCAGAAAGATCTCACCCACGCACCAACACGACGCTATTTGACTTCTCTGCTCATCGCTCGCGTATGTAACTAGGTGGCTGTCGCGCTTCCTGAAAAATGTGTTATTGATAGCACGATCCTCAGCAAATTTCAAAACACGTCATCCGTCTTTGCTGCGTATCCCGTGTTCGCTGGTGCCATAACAGCTGTGACCATTCTGAGCGCTACCAACATGGCCATTTAGTCGCCACAAAGACAGGATTACTTCGCTCTCGGGAACTGCTGCAATGTGATTCTCCAGTCACCTCGAAATCGTCCCTTTACCACATCGTCGCAGCTGCTTTGTGGAGCGTAGGCTAAGAACTACAGCGTAGGCTAAGAATACACAATGTTGACAAGTTGCAACGTCAATTAAAGCAGATATGAGTCTATCTGAATGAGGCCTTACTTCTCCGACGGGCTCCGCAGCCCCGACCTCACGACACCCTTCGCTGCTAGCCCCCATAGTAGCTCAGCTAGTATCCTTTGCCAATGTCGCAGGACTTTTGTCCCTCCCACCTCGTCTCCTGAATGCGAACGATGTCCACTTTGCACCGTTTCAACATTTTGCTAATTCGCTGCTGCGTCCTGTG